AGATATCAACTCTTTGGAGTAAACAAGTAGCTTACTCCTTATCCCTTAAAAATATCTTGGTAACTTGGTAGAATTATCTGTTGCAATTATTTAAATAATATTTATATCTTCCCTATTGTGTACTTTGGCAAACAAAATGGATTTTTATAGAAAAGATTATGTTGGTATTTTATCTTGTTGAGGACAACACTTCAGTGCAACTGAAGTTTCTTTCTGGAAGTTGATTGATTACGAACTGTTAATAAACACCAACATGTGTCTGTTCCATTCTTCATGCCTTATTGTCAGTTTTGTAGATGAGTGATGTTTTCGGTGGATTCTGTTCCCATACATCACATAACTTCGCACAGTGTTTGGTTTATATTGATATTTGTAAAATCAGTGTCTCTACATTGGATTTGTATTATCTCAGTATTGGACAGATTTCTTTGTTTTTTGGATGAATATCATTTTCCATAACTGTCATAACTTAATTTCTTCATAATGAAAAATGATCAGAAAGGGATTTTCAGTCACTATTCATTGTTGCTGGATGAGCTCCCTCTAAATTTTAAAACCTCCACAGGGTCTTACAAGCCTCTAATGTAGTCTAGTGGGGCTGCTGAGTCATTAGTTTTTGTTCTATTTGGAATGTGTGAAATGCAAAAAAAAAAAAAAGTCTTAATTGAGTCATTTCTGTCAATACGAATAAGGAGGATGCAGTGTATGTCCCAGATACACATTATCATCAAATGTTCTCATTTAATTGCATTTGTTTTTGCAATAAGAAGTGAGCAAGAGTGCTGGATAAATGGTTCATTGTTCTTATTGTTGCATCAATTTAAATGTGACCAGATGTCGCACCATACCACAAAGTGGGTCTGTTCTGGTGCAGAAGGGTAAATCAGACTGCAGTGTTTCTCAGCATCTCTAGTTACATATGTTGCCATGGTGCAGTACCTGTAAGTTTGCATAGTGAAGTGACTGCTTCCTAGTTTTGCCTATGAAAGAGTAAAGATACTCATCAGCACCTACCCACATCACCTGCCTGTGTATCACCTTCAGAAACACCCCACCTGTTTCCCAGCCAGGCACTGTTCCTCCATTCTCTACTTCCTCTTCCTGCTCACTGCTCCTGCTTCCTGGAGCCCGTGGCTGGGTCTCCATTTCCTGCAGGGTCTGAAGCCGGGGAGACTGGAGCACCCACGCAGGGTCCCTGTGCAGTGCTGCCCCCTGTCCGGGCTCCCACGAGGACAGCCACACCGACCCTGCTCGTCCTCGGCTCCCTGATGCTTCAGCTGCAGACAGAAGTTTCAAAACACACTCACTCGTGTCACTTTCCTCCCTTAATAGTTAAATAATCATCTCTTGGTACAGGTTAAGGGAAAGTGGGAACATCTGCATAATTATTAAATTGTGCAGAAAGTGGAGTTCTCAAGATGTGGTTTTAGTTGGATTTCCTTTTTATTAAGATGATAACCTTTTTGAATACATTTCCAGCGGGCTTGTGGGGCCTTGCCTTTCATTTACCCGGAATCTGCTGAAGCTAGATTAGCTCGCAGCTTGAAGTGCCATCTGGCACTCTTGTGACTTCCTGTTGCCTTCATCACAAATTCCAAGCTCATGGAACCTGAGGGGGCGCTGACCTTGGGCTGTTGGTCTTATTTTCACCTGCCTGCCTTCCTACACCCCCTGCCTGACGGGACGGTCCCTGGATGCACTCTGTCTCTGTGCCTCGGTATTTTTGCACATGCCCTGCCCCCGCCAGGAGGATTTTCGGCATCCCCTCACGTATCCATTTTCTCTCCATTCCTCAAAATCTTTATTCAGTGACATTCCCATCTCTACTACCCTCTGTAGTAAGGCCTCCCACCTCTGATTCCCTATAACACTGTATCATTTATTTGGTTACTAGTCCTCTGTAGTGTATCGATTCTTGAAAACTCATTTGGTCTGTTGTTGTAAATCCCTATATTTGCATATTGTCTCCACCAATGAGGATCTTGCAGGTAGATGCTATGTCCTCAGTTCAGTTCAGATGCTCAGTCATGTCTGACTTTGTGACCCCATGGACTGCAGCACACCAGGCTTCCCTGTCTATCACCAACTCCCGGAGCTTGCTCAAACTCATGTTCATTCAGTCGGTGATGCCATCCAACTATCTCATCCTCTGTTTTCCCCTGCTCCTCCAGCCTTCAATCTTTCCCAGCATCAGGGTCTTTTCTAATGAGTCAGCTCTTTGTATCAGATAGCCAAACTATTGGAGCTTCAGCTTCAGCCTCAGTCTTTCCAATGAATATTCAGCTTGCAGTCCAAAGGACTCTCGAGAGTCTTCTCCAACACCACAGTTCAAAAGCATCAATTCTTCAGTGCTCAGCTTTCTTTATGGTCCAACTCTCATACGTGACTACTGGAAAAACCATAGCTTTGACTAGGTGGACCTTTGTTGGCAAAGTAATGCCTCTGTTTTTTAATATGTTGTCTAGGTTGGTCATAACTTTTCTCCCAAGGAGCAAGCATCTTTTAATTTCATAGCTGGAGTCACTATCTGCAGTGATTTTGGAGCCCAAGAAAATAAAATCTGTCACTGTTTCCATTGTTTCCCCATCTATTTGCCTTGAAGTAATGGGACCGGATGCCATGATCTTTGTTTTTTGAATATTGAGTTTTAAGCCAGCTTTTTCGCTCTCCTTTTTCACTTTCATCAAGAGGCTCTTTAGTTCTCTTTCTGCCATAAGTGTGGTGTCATCTGCATAGCTGAGGTTATTGATATTTCTCCCAGCAATCTTGATTCCAGCTGGTGCTTCATCCAACCTGGCATTTCGCATGATGCACTCTGCATGTAAGTTAAATAAGCAGGGTGACAATATACATCCTTGATGCTACATTGATGTACTCCTTTCCCAACTTGGAACCAGTCTGTTTTTCCATGTCTAGTACTAACTGTTGCTTCTTGACCTGCATACAAATTTCTCAGGAGGCAGGTAAGGTTGTCTGGTATTCCCATCTCTTTCAAAATTTTCCAAAGTTTATTGTGATTCACACAGTCAAAGGCTTTGGTGTAGTCAATAAAGCAGAAGTAGATGTTTTTCTGGAACTCTCTTGCTTTTTCAGTGATGCAGTGGATGTTGGCAATTTGATCTCTGGTTCCTCTGCCTTTTCTAAAACCAGCTTGACTATCTGGAAGTTCTCGATTACTTACTGTTGAAGCCTGGCTTGGAGAAATTTTGACCATTACTTTGCTAGCATGTGAGATGAGTGCAATAGTGCAGTAGTTTGAACATTCTTTGGCATTACCTTTCTTTGGGATTGGAATGAAAACTGACCTTTTCCAGTCTTGTGGCCACTGCTGAGTTTTCCAAATATGCTGGCATATTGAGTGCAGCACTTTAACAGCATCATCTTTTAGGATTTTAAATAGCTCAGCTGGAATTCCGTCACCTCCCCTAACTTTGTTCATAGTGATGCTTCCTAAGGCCCAGTTGACTTCACACTCCAGGATGTGTGGCTGTAGGTGAGTGATCACACCATCTCGGGTTGGCTCATTTTGTGAGGACGGTTAGTTCAACTTTTGACATAGTTTCAAGTGATAGCAAAGATACATGAGCATATATTCCTAGGGGTGGAAGACTATTTATAAATGCAAAGCATATTTGTAAATCCAGACTGGAAAATGACTGAGGTCAAGATTGTGCTTTAGGCCATAATGGGGGAGAATATTTCTGCAAGGAGAGAAATTACTGGGGGAAATCAAAGCTCCCTAGAATTAGAGGTCTGGAAAAGGAAAAAGTTGTAGAAAAGATGTATTGTTCACTTAAGATTTTCCCAATACTGAGCACAAGGTGTCCCACGGAGTAGGGTATCGACTGAATAAATGTGAAGAAAACTGAAATAATGTAGAAGATTAAACCTAGGTTTCTCTAGTTCTGACTCCCATGAGCTTTGATCATTCCTACACAACTTCACAAACAATTAGGAGGAATTTAAACTGAAAAGCTCTCTCCATGTGGAATAATCAGAAAAGTCATTAGAAGTTACGAGATTGCATTATGACTTTCTTATTCTAATGCAAGTTTTATAAATAATGTTATATAAAACATTTAATAGCAATGACTTAAGTGTTACAATATTCCTGGCAGCTCTTTTAGAATAAATTTTAACTGTCAAGTAAATAAGCAAAAGGATTTCAAACAGGAGAACATTAGGTGAAACACTCTGAATTACCTGAGAATCTCCCAAGAGTTCTCTTTAATCTTCAGATGTTGTGATTTTAAACCAGTAACGTTCTTTAGTTGTCATAGTTGTATTCTGTAGTCTGATTTTCTTATAAGTTATTTGTGATTCAGGTTCTGTGAGTCACTGTGAAGGACTCAGCTTAACATATAGTCATACTTGTGCCTAAGATTTATCGTAGGAGAAAGACATAAAGCAAAATCAGACCTTTCCGAGAACACACTGGCAAGCCTGGAATGTTAACTTTTCTTTCTGCCCAGGTAGACTGATGCTATGAGACATATGAAGTTGCAATGTTCAGCCATTTTTTACTACAAAAAAAAAAAAATTTTGTGTGCAGTTCAGCCTCTGGTTCTGTGATCTGGTTTACTCCCCAAAGGTATGTGTGTAGCCTGGGGACTTGATTCCACAAAGTCCAACCCATACTGAGCAGGGCTAAAGTTTTGCTCTTTCCCAGCCCATATGCCATACTTGATTTAAAACAGTGACAGAAATATATTATTTTTGTGGGGGTTAAGACCACCTGTGATTGAGTTTAAGCTCAACATGGTCCCTAAAGTTGTAGTCATAAATGTCTTATAAGAGCATTTTGACTCAATGAAGCATTTGTTGGACCAGTTATCTTCATCACATGAGAGAAGGCACTTCAACCAGCCCCTACAGTGAAACTTAGACCGAAAGCAGAGAGAACCCCATGACCTTCATGGAAAGACCTTGCAAGGAGTGTATTAGTAGTGAGTCATAAAGGAGGTTGATTGTAAACACACATTTGTGGCACTTCCTGAAGCTGCAGAATTTTTTACTAAATGAAAGCTCTGAAGGTCTGCTGCCTGCATCTTCTATTGCAGTGATTTAGAGACAGAGGCCCAGACCACAAGGGTGCTTCTCTCCATCCTTCCTCTTCTCTTTAACACTTTTACATGTGATGCTAATGGAATAAAGCTTTCAAGCTAGCAGGAAGATCAATAAAAATTTTATAAGGCCGGCAATGTCTTGTTGAGCGTCATAGTATATGGCTCAGTTTTCTTTTCTGAAAAATGAAAGAGATTCAAATAAATAATACTGGAAATGTCATCTGGGTCATTTTAAAACTGGGATTTTAATGGTAATTTTTAAAAGTGTGTATGTGATCCTACATGCTACTTACCTAGGATTTCCAGATTTTTAAATGTTGGAAATTTTAAAATGGATAAATTACTATTTTCATTCTGTTCTCAAACAGCAAAATTCCTTGCCATTTGCTTGGGGGGGGGGGGGCTGCAAAACACCAACCCTCTTAGAAGTTACTATTTTCCTGCTATTGTGAGTGTTTTTTTCTTTTTTGAAGATTTATCCTTACTTTTGGCAACTTGAAAGGTATTACATCTCAGAAAACTGTCATCTCTCTAAGCCCCAGAAAGACTGATGATTAAGTCAGGAAACATAAGTCCTACCTTCCTGTCGCCCCCAGGAGGTGTGCTTGTAGCTGAGCTGCAAACCTCTGAAGCCAGCGGCAGAGCCAGGCTCTGCTCCCTAGGTCTGCTGTCACCACCTTGACATAAGTTTGCTTTCCCTGTTAGCGTTAAGCAAGCAAAGCCCAGAGGAACTAACTAGAAACCTGCTTTCCCACATTGGTGTAGGACTAGGGGGAGAGCCAAAAATACCTGCCACCTTTGATTGAGCCTTGCAGTGGACCCGGCAGTCTCATTTAATTTTCACAACCCTGAAAGTGTTTTCCCACACTGCAGATGGAGAAATTATGACTGAGAGGTTGAGTGACGTGCTGTGGGTTCACAGCTCATAACTGGCAGAGTCTGGTCAGCTGACTCCAAAGTGCACACCGCCTCCACTACGACCTCAACACACCGCTCTCCACCTGGGAGCGTGGGAGGCCTGGGACCTTGAGGAAGAACATAAATGCTGAGAGACGGAGGGCTGAATGTTTGCGAAACACCTCCTGTGGACCATGCTCTATAATAGATTCTTAACCATAGATCTTTTCAACTAATCCTCCCAGTGACCCTCTGAGTTAGGCCATTTCACCCTCATATTACCTACTCAGAGAAGTCAAGAAACTCTGACAGTCACTCAGCTAGTAAGTGGCAGGGCTCACAGAGGCTTCTCTGGAGGCTCAGATGATAAAGAATCTGCCTGCAATGCAGGAGACGCAAGAGACACCAGTTCCATCCCTGAGCCAGGATCTCCTGGAGAAGGGAATGGCTACCCACTCCAGTATTCTGACCTGGAGAAGTCCATGGACAGAGGAGCCTGGCGGGCTACAGTCCATGGGGTCACAAAGAGTCAGACAGAACTGAGCGACTCAGCACACACATAATCTGGATTTAAACAGACTGACTTTCAAATTTACCTTTATTTTACTAAATTTAGCTTATCGGTTTTATAGGAACATAACACATTTTAAGATCAATTTTAAATTTGTTTTGTTATGAATAGGACTCAGAAGGATTTTGTGATAGAAATGAATTCCTGAGATCCAGATGATAAGAAAGTGGGCAGATAGATCCAACTCAACTGGGTCTAATAAAAATCAGATATATTGATAGGTAAATTGGAATTCAGGTAACCAGACCTCCAAGCTTTCAGTTTAATTGAAATTTATATATTACATTTGAATTTCAAGACAAAGCAAATTACAACCAAAAATGGGGGGAGAGGGATTACCCAGGAATTATTTGGAAAAGTCACTTGCACTGAATATGTCTTCTTTTGAATCTCCTCCATGGTCTACTGTAACATAATATTTAGCTATGATTGATATCTGTTGTCCGGGCCTAGGGGCATTGCAGATAATCAGCAGAGACAGATTAAATTATGTCAAATATGCTAAGGTAAGAAAGAAATGAATGCATATGAAATACAGTCTAAACAAATAGTCCTAATTATCTTTCAGTTAAGTAAAAATGATAAATAGAAGATCGCTTAAACACCTTACTAGTTTAAGGCTTTATTTGCTATGTGCTAGAGGTGGCTGTATAATAAAAAGAAAATAATCACAATATTCCCAATCTGTGTGCACTCCTTTCTGTTCATCTTCTTTATGAGCAATTTTGAGAATACCTTACAAAAGATGGGAGAAAGTTGTTCTATCCATATTGAGCACCAGAGTTGCAATTAAGTCAATTTTTGATCTTTAGGGGCTGCCTTTAAAATTGTGAGGCTGTAGGCCAATACGAACTAGTGTGGCCTTTACCTGCCACATAGTGATAACTGGCAACTTGTTTTTGGCATGTGGGATGAGAGTGTTATAGCAACCAGTGTTTATGTTTGAACCTGTTATTTAAAGCCAACAACTTGTTTGAAACTGGGCACTTAAACAGTGTTAAAAATACGGCATAGGATGCTTTCTGCTGTTCAGTCTGTGGTTTCCTCTGCTAGCTAATACCATATGTAATTGAGAGGCATCCATAAAAATTTGGTGTATTCTTTGTTCAGAGCTTAAAGGGAAAGGTTTAGCAAATTGAATAACTTTTTAAAGTACATCTGGGGTACCATTTTTAAATTTAGTCTTCCTGAAGTGTAACTGTCACACTCTTTCAGGTTCAAAAACCCTGAACAACTGAATCTCATTTTCTAGTTATTCTCCATTTCCCTCAGCCTAGTGGAGGAGATAATAAATGTGCAATGTGTCAGGGGATAAGGACCACAAACACGGCAGAGTAAGGAGGAGAGATGAGTGACACAGGTGCTATTTTAGATAGATCAAGAGGACTCTAGTATCACATTTGAGCAGAGACTCAGTGGAAGTGAAGTACAGACCCATGTTAACATCTCAGAGAAGAACATTTCAGGTACATGCAAAGGCTCTGAGATGGACGCAGTCAGTATGCAAGATCTGAGCCGAGTAATTAAGAGGTCAAGTGGTACAAGGTAAAGGGCAGACCACATAGTACCCTGCAGGCCATGGACAGCCCTTGAATTTTTCTCTGAGTGGGACAGTGGCTGTTAGAGGAGTGACATGACTTATGATTTAATGGGATCACCCTGGCTGCTGAGATGAGCAGAGACTGAAAATCAGTGGTAGGATCTGATAGACTGGTTAAGAGGACATTCCAGTCACACAGGGAAGAGAGGATCAGAAAGGTGGTGATAGAGGTAATGATTTTTTAAGGTAGAGCTGAAAGAACTTACTAGTGAATCAGATTTGGGGAGAGATTGGAGGAGACAAGGCAAAGCTGATTCCAAGGCCCCAGGCCTAATCTACTGGAAGAATGGAATTGCTTGAATGGATGGGGAAGACTGTGGGTGAAACAGATTTTCAGGCAGAGGGTAGGAGGCAGGGAAAATCAAGAGTTTGGTTTTTGACACCACTTATGAGAAGCAGCAAAATACTTTGTTTTTTTTTTATTGTTATAGATTTATTTTTATTTATTTTTTCTTTGTTTTATTTTATTTTTTTTTCCATTTATTTTTATTAGTTGGAGGCTAATTACTTTACATTACTTTACATCATTACAGTAGTTTTTGTCATACATTGAAATGAATTAGCCATGGATTTACATGTAAATATCTTTTGAAAAATATTAAAGTAAAATGTGTAAAGAACGATTTACCTGGAGGACTTTATACTTTATATAACCAGGGAGTTGCCTGGTATTTCTACCCTTTGGTCACTTCCTAGAATACATTTCCTTTAGTCTCTTGAATGATCTTTGTTACTGAACATTTGTTAGAGGCTTTTCCAAAATCCTAGTAAATTATATCCCTCGTCCCCTTTTGGTAACCAGCTCGGTTATGTTCTTGGAATTTTTTGGTTCCGAATGCATGGCCTTTGTAAGAACAAAGATCAGATGCTCTAGATCCCAGTCTTATTTCTTCATGGTTGCTTTATGTATAAACTGGAACAGCCAGTGTGGACGACTTCGTGGACCCTGAACACACCACTGCTGTAGCGTTGGTCAGTTGAGCTGAGGCTGTTGATTCTTGGGTGTGTTCTTCCCACTGAACGTTATGCTCATTGAGGGTAGGATTTATCAGCTGCTTAATCTTTGTATTTCCTGAGTCTAGTCTAGTTCTTGATACCAAGGTTGACAGCAAATTTTGAATATGTGAATGTTTCTGAACAAATTTTGAGAAACTAAATATGTCTTTTCTCTCTTATCTCATCTGTGTAGCGCCTGATGGCAACAAGGTACAAGATAAGAAAACCGCTGCCTCCCACCGGCCCTCCACTACTATTTCAGGACAAAACAGCAACCAGTCAGGAAATAAGCCAGGTACTGTGCATTGCCTTTGCTGTGGACAAAGGAGGGCAATCCCCAAGGTCTTATGCCTGCTGGAATTTAGGAGAGCTGGGTTTCAGTCCTGCCACCAAAACACACATTTAGACAGATTTCTAGAAGTCAGAAAACCTCTCACACCTTGATTTTCGTTCTTTAAAGTGGAGATTCAAAGCTAAGCCCTACTCACCTCTCAGAATCATTTTCAAGCTGGTATCTGTGAATGCACTGTTTACTGTCAGGCAGTGTATGAGAGGTAGTAATTTTTCCATTCTGCCTGAAATGATAGAAATGACACAGTTTTTTTGTACCTGTATGCCCAGCATTCGTGCATATCTCTTTTGTGACTTTTTCAAAACCCACTTAAGGAAATCATTACACACAGCAATGCTGGTATAGAATTACGTTTTTGTTCCCTGTTGCCTGCAATGATTGTACACCTACACAGTAATTTCATTTAATAGCCTGTGATTCATGGTCTGTTCCATTCAGCGATACAAAGAAGCAAACACTCTGTAAACAAGCTACAAACAATGGAGTAAACAGTGCGCTAGCTTCCGGGTGCCCAGCGACCCTGAGATGGTCTTTGGGAGAGACCGACTTACTGTGTGATGGAGGGAAAGGCAAACCAAACCCCTCTTGAGGTTCTTGGAAGCCTGCTTCATGCTGCATCCACGGCCAGAGTCACTCAAGAACAGTGAATCAGTGGGACTAAAGATGGAAATAACTCTACCTAGCCCCATAGAAAACATTCCCTGTCCCGCCTAGTTTTGTGGGGTCTTTTTTCCTATGTGGAGGAGGTCTTGAACAGAGCAGATAAGTCTGCCTTGCCATTCAGAGGATGTATAAGTTACAGTTGCAATGTTGCATTTGCTGCCATTAGTAGCGAATGATGTGGAGTTTCAGTGGAGTTTTAATTCACAGGCTGAGATTTTCCCCATTTAGTCAGTTTACATTTTCATTCATGTATCCGTCCATATATCCACCCAAAGCCCAGCCAACTCGTAATGTTTCTTGAGTAATTGCCCAGTATGGGGGGACTCAGAGATACCGTGTGAGCAAAGCAACAGGGCCGCTCTCCTCACAGAGCTTATTCTAATGGACTTTCATTCTCTGTAATCCAGTGGGCATCCTTGTAGAAGTAGAAGCTGTTTAGCCTGAAAATCCCCTTTGTTTTATCATGAGAATTGAACATAGCTAAATGGTTTATACTGATTTTCCCTTATTCTCTCCATCAACCATCATTTCTGATTCCTCCCATTCTTTACTGTGCAGTTTATACTTTTATATCCTGATAATTTGTTTATTCATCTGGTAATAGCACTGTGTAGGTACTAGGAATATATTATTGAAAGACATAATCCTACTCTCTAGCTGACAAGTGTAGCAGAAAAAATCAGTATGTGACTAGATCATTCTAACAGTATTTCCATTGTGAGAAGAGAAATATGCAGAGTGCATAGAAATATAGAGGCCAAAAGAAAATTCTTTCCTACCCCAATTGACTGTCTCTTCATAGAACTATTTGATTTATATTGCTAGAGTGACGTTCAGTGAGGAGACGTTTCATTTCAGATTGTGTCTTTTAAGTATTCTTGTGTCTGCTTTCTTGTATATACACATAAGCACAGATATATCAAGACTCTTATTTTTAAAACCACCATGTTATTTTCCTGAGTATCTCTGAAGATGATATCAGAGGTTCCATGTTGGAGTTATAGGCTTGAGTAAAACCTTTTGATTTTATGGGATATGAGTCATGGGAATGTCTGTCTAAAGCTTTTTTTTTTTTAATTTTCTTACGTCAGGAACTTGAAAAGAATTACATGCTCTTTGGGGGATATTTTGACTATTGCCCTAACCAAATGCAAATATCCTGACAGTAGTTGTTCAGATAGGAGTCAAGGTTTAGTGAGTTCTTATAAAAAGCCTTGTCACAGTGAGCTTATTTTTCTTGATCTTTGAGGGTCACTCTTTAGTTCCAGATTTTTCAGGATTGTACATTTTCACATGTAACCACAGGCTATTTTCAGTATGCCCTTTCACTCTCGAAAGTACCTTGGTTTAGGTGGTCCATCTGCTTTCCAGTTATCACAGGTAGGAGGTTGGATGCTGAGTGTAGCTGCAAGTGTGTCTCCACTGAAATCCTATTTCTCTTAAAAACTTTTCCTTCTAAGAATTAAGTAACTTAATTCTATTCTAACAGTGTTAGATCTATTGGGAAACAGTGTGAAATGTTCATGATGCCAAACTATTTTCTATACCTTCACTTTGTTCCAGAAAAAAAGTGGTATGAGGATAGAAATGAGACGGAGAAAAAAAATTTCAGGAAATTCGCTATTTACTTGCAATTATTCAATTGTATATTTTTTTTCTGAAATCCTACCTTTAAAGGTCATTTTTATCATTTTTTAATTATTAAACCTTAGAATTGTAATCACTAGTATTTACTACTACCTTTTTAAAAGTCTGTCGTCAAATACAAGTTTGGTATGAGTTTGGCCTCATAGGGAATGTTAATTCCATTAACATTTAGAGTGTGTAGGCTCCAAACGTTAGCCAAGGTTGCTGGCTCATTTCTTCTTTCATTCATTTAATAAATATTTATTGAATGCCCTCCTTTCTGCCAGGTATAGTCCTAGGCAATGAACAAAACTGATCAGGCCCTGCTCCTCCCTACCCATGTTCACAGCCATCTTTAATCTGCCACAGGGTGTTTATTAACATTCTGGTACCAAAGTGACCTTCTTATTAATGTGACCAGAAGGATGGAAACAGAATTCAAACGGAATACCTTTTTCACTCTACAGTGCTTTTTAGCTCCAGGTCCCAAAACCAACCAAAATCATCTAGCATGTGATAGTCACTATGCATGTTATATTTTAGAAATGTGTTGCGTTTGTTCTTTGCTTTCTCAAATCAAATTCTAAATAAATAGTGGTTGAGATCAGTGCTGGAGCAATAATGGTGGCCAGGGAGGATTATTGAAGTCATAAGCATTGGCCTTATTTATAGTGCTTATTGATATATCTTTATAGCACTATATACAACCTGGTTTCTTAGGTACTGGTGTTACCAGACAGGATACAGTTTATTACATGTGAAGAGTGTAATTTTCATATGGAGTGATATCATAGAGATCAGAGGTAAACTATGCCCTTTCTTTATGTATTTTTAGATACATATGGCAGGTGTTCCATTGCATAATTTGAGTGTTGGCTCATGACTGCAGGAACACCAGGTATTGACTTGGGGTTCTCAGGGTTGCTTTGGGTGGAAGAAGGTAGATGAGGATGACTATGTTGTTATTGAAAATTTTTGTCAAAATTTGTGGGAAATTTGTAGAAATGTCACATACTCCGTATTCTATGAACAGAATTTTACTTCATAGTCTCTATTTATAGACTTTCTATAATGTGCCCATGTAATTTTTAGAAATAAAGTTGATTTTCAAGTTTCATAATAAGTGCAAAGTTTTCATAAGGGAGTAAAACCTCACTTTAAATTAAAAGACTTTTTTTAAGCAATAAGTAACTGCTAGAAGTCTTGCTTCTAACTTCGTTTTGGCTTGTGTTCTTAGATAATTTTTTTCTTCAAAATATCATTTCGATAGGGCTGTCATTTCCAAAAACAAATGACAGCAAAGCTCCCCTGTCTGTGACCCTTAACAAAGTGCCTGGCGGGGTCTATGTGCCTCTTTTCCGGTGTCAGGAGAAAACCTTTTGGGACCAAAGACCATATTTTTCTACATAAAGAACATTTGAAACCTCATAAATGATTAGCAAATGGGGAAATAATTATCATAATGAATGTGAGCTAGTTAGGGGTTCATATTATCAATATTAAAAAAATACCTTAAAGCAAAGGAAAAACACAAAATATCCTCTCCTGGTCCTGCCCATGACCGCACTGCCGGGTTTAGGCAGCTTCTCATGCACTTTCATACAGTTCTATTTCTCTTAAATGGACACGCTCTGTAACATTTAGGAGGCATTTGAGATGCGAGGCCTTTAAATCTGTTGAAGTACTCCTGTGTTGTCCCTAAAGTATTATTCCAGTAGGTTTTTCTTTTTAATATGCGATTTTAAATTGTTAATTTAGTAGCAAGGAAAATAATGCTGACTTTAAGTGTAATTATCATCATCGTCGTCATCATTATTACTTCGCTTTTGGTTTTATTTAGTAGCGGGCAGAGCGAGCGCATTTGTATAGACCTCTGCTGGGGAGCCCGTAGTGGCGTCTCAGTCACAGCATAATCCAAAGTCCTCACCAGCACCCCAGCCTCTGGCCCCATCGCCTAACTGATCTCACTCTGCTCCAGTGGCTCAGATCTTCATGTCGTTTCTTGAGCATCTTAGGGACTTGTGACCTCAGGGCCTTTGCAGTTGAGCTTTTCACCTCTTGGAATGTCTGCACAGACAGCTCCTTTATTTCCATCATGTTTTTACACATATAAGCTACCATCAAGTTAGAATTCCCTTGGCACCTATCCAGAATGTCCAGCCTGCCGTTTCAGTCCATCTCGTCGCTTTGTTGTCTCCTTAGCTTTTATCTCAGCCAGTCCTCTTGCCCGGAAAATCCCATGGACAGAGGAGCCTGGTGGGCTGCAGTCCATGGGGTCGCTAAGAGTTGGACATGACTGAGCGACTGCACTTTCACTTTTTACTTTCATGCATTGGAGAAGGAAATGGCAACCCACTCCAGTGTTCTTGCCTGGAGAATCCCAGGGACGGCGGAGCCTGGTGGGCTGCCGTCCATGGGATCGCACAGAGTCGGACACGACTGAAGCGACTTAGCAGCAGCAACGTTCCCAGGTGGCTCAGTGGTAAAGAACCCACCTGCCAATGCAGGAGATGCGGGTTCAATCCCTGGATCGGGAAGATCCCCTGGAAAAGGAAATGGCAACGCACTCCAGTGTTCTTGCCTGGGAAATCCTATGGACAGAGGAGCCTGGCAGGCTCCAGTCCGTGGGGTCGCAAAAGAGTCTGACACAACTTAGCTATTAAAACAATAATTCTATTTGCGTGCATGCTAAGTCATCTTTGTTGCATCCAACTCTGTGCAACTCCATGGATTGTAGCCCGCCAGGCTCCTCTGTCTATGGAATTCTCCAGGCCAGAATACTGGAGTGGGTTGTCATTTCCTTCTCCAGAACATTCTATATATTGCCCCTTTTCCCATTCTCTATATTTTACATATGTTTTCCCTAAGCAAACTTTATTTGAGCAGAGATTTCTGTCTTTGAAAGGAGGTTAGCTCTCCTTTCAGCACATAAAACACTGCCTGATCACAGTAGATATTTAATGTATTCAATGAATGCAGATATTTACTGAGATTTAGCAAGTGCTAGGCACTGTACTAATGCTGTTATAAGCATCATTTTATTTAATCCATATGGTGATGTTAGATAGGGTCTATTTTATCCTCACAGACAACAGGTAAAAACCCATGAAACTGATGTCACAGCTTAAGACGTAGAGAGCTGGGTGAGTAACTCGGCCAAGTCTCAGCAAGTGAGAGAGAACCAGAAGTGATTTCATGCCTGTCTGATTTCAAAGCTGGGCTCTTCATATCTAACTGGTGACTGACCATCTATTTAGTAGAGTAAATTCACTTAGGATTCTATTTGTTGTTAAGGAGAAGACTTAAAAAAAATTTTTTTTTTTTTTAATTTTTTATTTGGCTGTGCTCTGACTTTTCTCTCTAGTTGGGGCGAGCGGGGACTACTCTCTAGTTGCAGAGTGCAGATGTTAGGGCACACAGGCTTCAGCAGATGTTAGGGCACACAGGCTTCAGCAGATGTTAGGGCACACAGGCTTCAGCAGATGTTAGGGCACACAGGCTTCAGCAGTTGCGGCATCTGGGCTCAGTAATTGTGGCTTCCGAGCTCTAGAGCACAGGTTCAGTAGCTGTGGCTTGGTTACTCCATAGCATGTGAGATCTCTCAAACCAGGGGTCAAACCTGTGTCTCCTGCATTGGCAGGCGGATTCTTTACCACTAATCCGCCAGGGAAGCCCCAGGAGACTTATTAAAACATAAAAATAATAAAAGTTCAGTAGTTTAGGAACATAAAACCTCATGAATAGTGTTTGATGAAAATAAGCCATAGGCACAGTTATGTTTTTACATAATTTATTTTGGCTGTGTGTCTTTTTTTTTTTTTTTTGAGTCTTTCCCAGATGTAATTAACATACAGCATCAATTAAACTGTAAGTTTAAGGTGTACAGCAAAGCATAATGACTTGACTTGTATTATGACATATTTATTCCAATATATTTAGTTAACATCCAGCATCTTATATAGATACAAAAAGAAAAATGATTTTTTTCCCTTGTGATGAGAACTCATAGAATCTAACCTCATATATAGTATTTTTAAATTGAAGAAAATACTGGGAAATTCTCAGGAAAATTATAATAAAGTACATCACTACAAGTATGGTCATAATTATTATAATGTTACTATAGGTAAGATGTAGTAATAATTCATTCATCAGATTTACCAGACAAAGAGATATTTATCAGTGTGTATCATTTTTTAAAAATCTGCTCCTCTTATGTCTCCCATCTCCTTTTCAGACCCGCCACCTGTGCTGCGTGTTGATGACCGGCAGAGGCTTGCGAGGGAGCGGCGTGAGGAGCGGGAGAAGCAGCTAGGTATGTCCCTTTCAAAGACACTCTTGTTGAAATGTTACTTTTTTCTGCCTAGGATAATGGACACTTAACATTGAGCAAACGGACATTTCTATAATAGCCAATGCTGTCTTGCATGCCTTTATGAGTTTTGCTGATGGGTTGGGAGACAGAATTTAGTAGGTGATATAAACATAGAACCAAGTTTTCACCCACAATGAAGTCCAGCCCAGGATTAGGGAGATTTTCATTTCTTGGTGTAATGACAGCTTCATCTGACCCTGGAGGAATGTATATATGAGAGGCGTGTTGGCTCAGGTTACATTTTACAACTTAGAAAATACCAGGAGAGTCAGCATAGGGTTCTTTTTATGTGCCCAGTTATGAGACTGTTTAGTGCTAGGGCCCTCACTGCTTTCCACGTTAAAAGAACACTGCTGCTGAATTTATAGACAGATGCTACCAGTATGCTGCCAGGAAAAACACAAGACCTGAGCTGTGATGTCTGACTTTTCTTTTGTTCCCAAGGCCCTTGCAAAAGTTTAGCAACTGCAGTATTGCCACACGATCAGCTAGAAAGCTGGGTCACGGGACTAGCTGACCAGGAAGCCAAGATCTAAGCACTCAGCAATCATCTTCTAGGATGCTGAGCAAGGATATTGGTGCTAGCTCCTCCTTTGCTTGAATGTCCATTTATGCAAAGTTTTCCAAGACCGGATAGTCTCTTTATGTGCCTTGGAAAGATGAAATGTCTAGTCATGTGTCTCAGTGTTTCCAGGGTGTCTGATATTTTAAAACCAGAACTGACTTAGGTTGTCACAATCTTTCCAGTGGATGACTTATAACTTTTCTAAAGTTCTACTGAATTTTATAAGAGTTAGTGCTTCAATTGGAGAAACCCAGCCCCATATCCCATCTCTGATTATTTGTATTCAAGAACCCAGATTTGTGAAGTTCACTGGAAGCTGGTTTTCAAAAGTCTGTTGACATTGTTTACATTCTTTGAACACAGGCCTCCTTCTCTCCCTTGCCATCATGGGCATGTGAGGTCATTTCTTCTGCTGCCAAGGTTTTTCCAACACAAATTTCAATGATTTGCTGGGAGTTAACAAGCCGCATTTCTCTGGGTTTAAAGTTTGCGCCTACGCTTGACGTTTCTCCACCTCTGGGGGGGTCTCCTTCCGGCTGGTAGGTTCCTGGAGAACAGGGCTACCTGTGGCCTGTTCCACTCGTCTCTGCTTGGAGTGCTGTGCAGTCCGGATTCCTTCCTTTATGAACTGTGCCCACTGCTCCCCAGGCAATTTGACAAGTGGATCAGAACTGAGAGGGAAGGAAAGGCAGAGCTACAGAAGCAAGAAGAGATCCCAGATGAGCATAAAGCAGCAGACTGCTGCTCCAGGGTGGTTGGTATTTACACTCTGGTTTTGAATCCATCCAAACAGGGAAAAGCACTCTCTCCTCTCCACGCCATCCCTGTCAGGTTAGGCTACTACTGCTGCTACTGCTAAGTCGCGTCAGTCGTGTCCGACTCTGTGCGACCCCGTCCCTGGGATTCTCCAGGCAAGAACACTGGAGTGGGTTGCCATTTCCTTCTCCAGTGCATGAAAGTGAAAGTGAAGTCGCTCAGTCATGTCTGACTCGTCGCGACCCCATGGACTGCAGCCCACCAGGCTCCTCCGTCCATGGGATTTTCCTGGCAAGAGTACTGGAGTGGGGTGCCATTGCCTTCTCCACAGGTTAGGCTTCACCCTGTTAAATGTCTCCTTAGCATTGCAATGTGGATTCATAGCTGCCTGAGCTCCACAGGGTGAGGAGACTATTCCTTTATGATTTAAATCCCATCAAGAATTAGCTTTTCCACCTTAACTCATGTCTTTCCATTTGGGTTTCTTTGTCTTTCAAATCCAGGTGTTACTAGTTTTATCATGGAAAGCATGATTATGCTGCTCACACAATAATGATTTCCCTTCTTATGCTATAAAGCTGTATAGCTCTAAGCCTGCAGATTCTCCCTGTAAATTGCCTTGCTTTATCTGTTAAGTGGCTGGGTTTCTTCTTAATATACAACCCCATATTTTAAATCATATTTCAGACCATACATCAATGGTATAGAACATGCATCATTAATTTATATATGTTAAAACTGCTGTTTGCCAGGTACTATGCTAAAAAGATGAATAAAGGTTGAGACCCAGCCCTCCAGGGTTAGCTGCAGTCTAGTGGGAGGTGGGAGAGGGTAGATAAACACACAGCGATTCTAATAGAGGATGGTATTGAAGGAGTGCGCACATGGGGCATGAGAATCCACAGAAGAAGCTCACCCAGCCTGGGGATGTCAGGGACCGCCTGAGCTTCCAGCTGGAGGATGAACGGAGTCATCAGGGAACTGGAAGAGATGCGGACTGCAGATCAGTGGTGCAAGGACAGGTGGCAACAGACCCAACATCTGTTCATCGTCAGATTAATTCATGGGTCAGAGTAAAGTTCAAATTATTATATTATCCTGTGGTCACAGCTTTACTTATTTGGTGAGCTAGTCGCTCATACAATAAAGCATCTGCCTGCAATGCGGGAGACCTGGGTTCGATCCCTGGGTTGGGAAGGTCCCCTGGAGAAGGATGGCAACCAACTCCAGTATTCTTGCCTGGAAAATTCCATGGACAGAGGAGCCTGGCAGGCTACAGCCCATGGTGTCGTAAAGAGTCGGACCCAACTGAGCAATTAGTACACACAGTGTATTCTAGGCTTTGTTTTTCTTCCTTCTTACCCCTGCTGCATTTAATACTACAGTTTCCTTAATTTTGATCTCTTTTCTTGTTGTTGACAGTCATAGTTTTAATGAAGTAGCATTTTATTTATTGTATTTATATTTTATTTTACCCTGCACTTTTATGTTCTTATTTTTTCTGCGTTAATTATATTTTCTTTTAAAATTTTAACCCAATGTCTTTTGGCCTATTCTTTTCCACTTAAGTTCTCTGAGTAGAAATTAATATTCAGAAATACACAAACATATAAATGTGCCCTTATGTTTGTGAAAGAGTCGTCTAAAATCTAGCATCTGATTTAATCTGTGCCTTAGAATGCAAAAGAGCTATTTCTAAAAAATTTTAGTACTAAGAGAAAAGTAAAAGGCATCTGATAAACTACCCTAAACTGTGCTTTGCAGAAACTATGATGGCAGTGGAATAGTGTTTTTGAAAAAATGGCAGGTAGGGTGGAGGAATGGCTATTATCTCAAAGATCTTTGGAGTGTGCTTTTTGAAAACACAAAAGCAGTTGATAATATCAACTATTGCCAAGCTTTCAAAGTTTAAAACTTTCCAAGTATAAAGGGAAAAAAAAAGAAAAGAATATATCCCAGAAATTCCAACAAAGCAAAGTTGAAAGCAATTGGCTGATGAAATTGATTATTTATTGTTGAATGTACACTGAAAATAATATTGAAATCATTGAAGTTTTTTTTTAAGACCACATTTTTAAAAGCAAAGTAGAAAGAAGGAGAATAAAGATCTTTGCTTTGGGTGACATGTCATGTTTGTATTGTTTTGCAAACAGAGGGTCTGTTAATAACTTTCTGTGGGTTAAATCTCTGAGTCATGCTTTAATGCCTTATGATAGGATTATGTCATGTGGCCTGCTGTTTCTACATTATCCTTCAATTTATCACATAAAATCAGGGATAATTCTTGAAGTGTGGGACTGTTCTGTTCATTTGGTTGGGCATATATACTCTGAAAGCTTTATTTTTCTGCCTTAAAAGGTTTTCTCATGAAGAAATGTCCTCAACTAGTCTATTTCATCTGACTCTAATTCAGACCACTCCTTCAAACTTCTCTCTTGACTATTTTTACCATCTCTTTTCTAAGCTTTAATTTTGTTTTTTTCCTGGGCTAGGTGGGGAGAATTGTTATTTGTTCTCATGATTTCTACTCTCTTGTTTTAATATTATGGGTTCCACATTCCCAACTCACTCTTTAAGGTAGTAGATGCTTTCCTGTCATCTGAAACTCAACTTCTATACCATAAATTGTCCATCAACTTTCACTCCAAGTGATTGCCATGTACCAGTCACTTGCACCAATATGCCTTCCACCCTTCCCCACCCCCACAGCATTATTTTTCAGGTTGTGGTTGTTTTTGTTTTGACACTTTCTGCTGCTGCTGGAGGCATTGGCGTCTTTTTGACTGCCAGCCTTAACTACTGCATCTTTCGCAGAATAACATGTTCTCTTCCTGGCGGTCCAGTGCTGCCTGCCTAGGCCCCACGCTGGCCTGTTGAGCCTCTTGTAGGTGCCCCTGGTCAGTCTGGACTCAGCCTGGTCCTCTAGCTGTGGCTTCAGGTTTGTAGGTGGAGGTTGCCTCACACCCTGCCCCTCAACCCACAAAGTCACAGGTCCAGTACTCCTCTGTCTTCACCAGCAGTCTCAGATCCTTTCCTTTAAATTTGCTGCTTCTGCTATCATCCTACTGCACACTTTAATAAATTTAGATTTCTGTTACCCAAAACTGTCTCACTGATGTACTTCATTCGTCCAGCTCTGTCACATTCACTTCCAGTCCTTCTTTTTGAAGCCTTCCTAGTTTTTATGATCTTTTCCCTTTTGGAAACTCTCATTTTCTTACTATATAATGTATCTTGCATAACTATCATGTTTTAGCTATTTTATATGTTACTGAACTTCTATTGGGACTTTATAGAACTTTTTAGTTGTATATATTTTAAGCTTTTAAAGAGTCTAGTCATAGTTTTCTAATTCTTTTTATCCCAGTACCTAGGGCTAAATATAAAACAGATGTATAATAAATATTTTCTGACTATACTCAAACCTTTAATTAAATGCTAATAATATTATTATTAATAATCATGTTAATTGAGCACTGACCATGGGCAAAGCAATGTTCTAAGCACTTCACTCTGTATTATCCCACTTAGGAGCAAATTAACTCAATGGTTGTACTTTCTGTTGTGTAAGCCTTTCACAGTTGCTGATGTAAGTTATTTTATGCATTGTCTTTTATTTTTTAAAAAATGCACTGGGATAATTTAGCTTAAGGAAGGAACTGAACCTTTAAAAATGGGATAGTTAATGGTCCCTTTTTTCTTTCTGCCATATCAGCTGTTTATGTACAGGGTCACCAAGGTCCATGTTTATGTTCTTCAACAAATGGTGATGCTGTTAAATAGAGCAGTCCCTATGCTTTGGATTCAGGTGGTGGGTTTTTTCAGGTTTCAGAGCTGGGCACATACCCAGCTCTCATGTAGAGGAAAGGCCTTTCCGCTTCCACATACAAGCAGGTTATGTGCGTGCTGTGCTCACTGTCCACTTGACATAGAACCAGAGGGTAAATGTAAGTGTTGGAGCAGATTCTGACATCTTTTTGAAAATATTTTGTGGCATTGACCATTTGTTCACCTTGGGGTCATTAAGAGTCTGTAAGAACTTGGATAGATCCTGGTTACTAACTTCTCTTCTGAAACATCTACAAGAATCAAAGCCTGTGAAATTTATGTAATATAAATTTTTGACTTTAGGTAAAGTAATACCACCACTACCACCACCACCTCCTTTTTTAAAAAGCTATTTCATTGCTATTTTAATTCACATATTCATTCACCTAGTATTTGATGTGGGGTCACTGTTGAGCTTAGAAACCCTGGGGCTATTGAAGTGAAAGATCAATTTTCTAACCTCCTAGAACTTACATTGCTCTGCCCTCCACCTGGAATATTTGGCCTGAGAGATGCGTGTAAATAATTTTCTCTCCTCCTTCAGGTATTGTTTAAATGCCGTCTCTTTAGTGAGGCATTCCCTGGCCATCTTCCTCAGATTTGCAGCTCCCCAAACTAGCACCCTCTGTTTTTCTCCATGTCATTCGCAACATCTAACCATGTATATATTGATATTCTACTTGTTTATTGTCTTGTCTGCTTTCACTGGAATATAAGCTTATTATAAGAAAGGATTTATGTCATTTTAACTTCTGTAGCCTAGTACCTAGAAAAGTGCCTGGCACACAGTTGATGTCCAACAACTGTTGGTTGAATGGTAAGCAAATAGTCTGTGCATTTCAATGTATGTGCAGCAGGTATACTGCAAATTGATTAGATACTACCAAATTATCAGGTAATATCTGTCCTTATAACATCCAGTCAAACAAGTCTGAAAATCTCCTTCTGATGCAGTTTCTCAATTAGATGAACAAGGACACAAAGATAATCTATATAATGGTTGTACCTTGAAACTGCTTAGTCTTCATATATGTTATGAAACTAATAATCCTACAGTATGCTGACAAATTCTAAGGAATGTATGAGGAATATTGAGCAGGCAAGAAGTTTTCTGTGTTTAGGAAGATATAAGGTCTCCCTTTCTGAAGGTGATGCAGATTAAGTTCAAGGTGTGGATCAGAGGCTTTCGAGAGTGTGAAATCACCAGAGATTAGCAGTGAATTGTGTGAGTGACTCCCGTCGCTCATGAAGAAAAGAATTAAATCTCTCAAGTCCCTCGTTCAGTTCATTCATAGTGGGTTTCGTGGCCGAGTTCAAAGCTGTGCAGGAGATCTGTCAGAATGTAATATGTGAGAAACAACCAGAAGATAATATGAAAACGATTTTGATGTTCAATTAGATTATATTCGCCTTGTATTTCAGGTAAACTCACCAGACTTTCTCGCCCCTCCAGTCACAACTTCTCTGCTGCCTGCCTTCCCACTCCTCCAGTCTCAGCATGTTGTCAGCTCAGAGGCAGCAATGAATAAAGGTGTGGTCAAGACCTACATGGTCCTTTCAGTCTGGCTTAGAATGTTCATCTCAAAAATGTTGACAGAGTAGAATTAATTCGTAAATCACCAGTGATGCCGTACTCTGATTAGAATCACAAGTGAAATTGTCCCTGGTTTCATATGTCACGTTATTATTATTATTGCTAGACATATAAGGAAGTCAGTGGTTTTGACAAAACTGTCCTCAATACACATACACACACACACACACACACACACCCCCAAAACCCAGACTTTGGGATTTTGGAAAACAGTCTTTCTAATCCAAATACATGCTGGATTAAACTTTGACAGATCTGTGGTCACCCGTGGCTTCTGGTTTCCTAAAGTTGTCTCTTGATGAATTGAGTGTACAAAATCTCGCAAGGCTGCCAGGCAGGCTGTGAACAACCAAGGGTCAGACTGCTCGTGAGTGGGAGGGCTGCGGACATGAGCGCATACCGCAGCTCTGCATCAGGAGGCAGGCAGAGGACTGGGGAGAAGAAGCGCTTCTTGTGGGATGGATTAAATAACACAGGCTGAAGCTGTAACATCAGGTGAATCACTGTGACTAAGCAGCCATTATTTATTTATCCCAAGTTTACTCTGCCTGTAAAGCTGACAGTGAAAAGGTCTTAAAACCTGAAAAGTCAGGGGTCGGTCTTGTAAATGGATGATGAAGGCCAAGAGTGATGTGAGAAAATCAGGATCTTCACTTGGGGTGCCCACCTTCTCCCAGTCTAGAGGAGGAGCCTTAGTCATGGGAAGTATTCCAAATCCTGCCTTTTAGCATAATGGTTTCTTGTTTGCTTCTGGAGTTAGACAGTCCAGAGTTTGGATTCCAGTCCCCCCTCGGACTTACTGTGAGACCTCAGGCCGGTTACTTCACTTCTCTGTAAGTTTAATAGCCGTGTCTCCCTCGCCAGGTGACTGTGAAGGTACTGCCTGTAAATCACCTGGTGTCAGCACAAAGCTGAGCACAGCTCACCAGGACGATTGTGATGATACAGGTGAGGACGGCAGGTCAGGTGACTCCAGAGACTGGTTGACATGCCTGGGACTGGAGAAGCCAGTGCTTCTGAGCTCTGGGGAGGCAGAGATAGAGGGGCCTTTGTGCTTCCTGGTCTAGTAGGCTGGGCTCAGTAAGACAACGAGGGAAGAGGATGGCAGCATTTTTGGAGGAGTGAAAGTGGATTAGGGTCGAGGCAGCGAGATTCCAAGGACAATCCTCGCTATGTGTGCTTTAGCAAAACTCTACTGACTTTAGCTGAGGCCTAGCTAAACAGTCCATGGAGCCTAGCTCTGAAGATAAGAAATCCTGGCACAGTATTGCTCTCCTGTCTCAAAAGAAAATGTCTTTCACAGGTATAAGCTCCTCAGGTCTGACTTAGTCCACCACTGTGTCCAGGGATGAAGGCAGAGCAGGAGGTCCCCTCAGTCAGGAGATGCAGTGTTGTATATTACAACACTTACAAGGTCACTTTATTACAAGGTCACTTTTATTACCAGGCAGTTCTCCAGCATAATACTCAAATGAGAGGAGAGTGGGAAACAGTGTAAATGACTGGTTGAGAAAGAAGGCTTTGAATTAACACTAAGGCTCAATGTAAATCACTTTGCTTGGAGGTCATATAACCCTTTAATTCCTTAGCTCATTCCTCATCAGACTTACTTTAATCATCTGCTAAACAAGTCATTGTTTTATGTGGGGAAAGACTCAGAAACATGTAAGAGCAGAGTAATTACCATCTGGCATACAGGTAGGAGTGCAGAGGAGCTATGGGTCCGGCCGTGGTGCCAGGGAAGGCTTTTCAGAGGAAGAGCCGTTTGACCTAGAACTTGAAAGATGACTGAGGTTTGCCAGGTGGGAAGAGCCGTTTGGGGCAGGGGTACCACGTAAAAATGTAGAGGATCATATGGTCAATCTAAGGAGCTGAACCGGGGGACAGGGGAACTAACAGATCTTCAGGCAGGACTATGACACTAGGTTTTGTTTGGGAGTGGGGCCGGTGGTAGGGGGAGGGAGATGTCTGAGAACAGTGTGCAGGATGGTTGTGAAGAGGAAATAGACTAAACCCTGGGAGTAAGAAAAAAAAGGAGGGCTTGAATACAATAGAATCGGAAGGATGAGAGAGAAGACACTAAATTCTGATGTAGAATGAGAAGGTGGAAGTGTTGAGTTGGGTTGGAGCATCCATGAAGGAGAAATTGAGGGTGACTCCAAGGGATCTTCGTAAACCATTGGGAGGTCATGTATCTGCTCTCAGAATGGAGAAGGCGGAGCAGGTTCCGGTTTGAGGTAGGGATGATGAGTAAGGTTATACGATGGATCTGACAAGGAAATTCAAGAGGAAATTTTAGGCGGGCAGTTGTGAATTTGGAGGAAGTATTGTATAGTAACTGAGAGTACAGGCTTTACAATCAGAGCTGAATTATAATTTCAACTCTTCCTCTTTTAGACACTAATTCTGGGAGAGCTATTTATCTCCTTCAGGTTTTTTTTGTGTGTGTAGTTTTTTGTTTTTATTTTTTTTTCATTTTGTCTTTACTGCCAGACAAAATGGAATTATTATTCCACATTTATTACAATTTTGTTTTCATTATCCTGATAGGTTTTGTTCATTCCTTATTTTATGATTTTTTTTAACACTTTGTTTTAGGTTTGTTTCTTTTAAACAACATGTTGTTCAGTTGCTCAGTTGTGTCCTCCTCTTTGTGACCCCATGGACTGCCGCACGCCAGGCTTCAACATAACTTGGGCATTTTGGATTTCGGCCTGGTCTAAAAGTCTCGATCTTAACTAGTAGGCTTAGTTTTAGTCCTTTTAAACTTTCTTTTTTCCCCCTTGCTATGGTAGGGGTAGGGTTGGTGGAGTGGAGGTGTAGGGGTTACAGGTACAGAGTCCCTACTATGTACCTGGCACTGCGCTGAACACTTTATATGTTACCGTGGGCTCATCTGGCAGCTCTGGCAGGAAGACGGCTGGAGGAAACAGGACCACAGAAGTCCCTCTGCAACAAGGGAGTGGCAGGAGGGGGTGGACTCAGGTTCCTGTGAAGCCAGAGCTGCTTCTCCACCCTGTACCCTTTGGCTTCAAACTCCTTTCAGTACAGGAGTCTTTGCTGCTTTAGTACAAGAGTCCAGTTTCTAAACAGAGCCCAGGCTGGCGGTGGATTTCCCCTTCATGGGGCACTGGCCTTCTGTTACAGTGTCCTGGTGGCAGCAGCTCGGGGATGGGAGTGGACCGTTCACGTCCAGGGGCCACAGTGGGTTTTCGTTTCATTTTTTATTATGATCTCAGAGTCCAGGAGAAAATGCTCACGTCACAAGAGCAAAGGCTAATGATATTCATCACAGGTCCTTTCTGGAATGTTATTCTTTCATAGAGCTCTGTGAAATTAGTGATCATTAATGATTTAAATACTGAATGAGTTGTTATACAGTCTGTTCATACCACCATGGCAGACTACTGTCGAATGCATGGCTTAAACAACAAATTGTTTTTTCTTAACAATTCTGGAGGCTGGAAAGTTTAAGATCAAGGCTCTGGTAGGCTTCTGTTCCTGATGAGAGCGCTCTTCCTGGCTCATGGATGACTGCTTTGTTCTCACCTGGGCTTTCTTCTGAGCATGAAAAGAGAGGGAGAGAGAGCTCCCTGGTATCTGTTTCTATAAAGGAGTAATCATTTGAAAAGACCCTGATGCTGGGAAAGATAGAAGCCAGGAGGAGAAGGGGATGACAGAGGATGAGATGGTTGGATGGCATCACTGACTGGATGGACATGAGTTTGAGTAAACTCCGGGATTTGGTGATGGGTAGGGAGGCCTGGCGTGCTGCAGTCCATGGGGTCTCAAAGAGTCGGACACGACTGAGCAACTGAACTTAACTGAATCCTATTGGATTAGGTTCCTATCCTTATGACCTCACATAATCATGATCATCTCCTGAGGCCCTAGCTCCAGATGCAGTCACTTTCGGCAGTAGTTGGGCAGTAAGGATTCAATGTACCAATTGCTGGGAGAGGAGACACAATTCAGTCCATAGCAAGTGTTGATTTCTTTTTCTTACGCTCAGAAGTCTTATTTCTTAATGAGAAAATACAAAACTTTGTTGTTATATATCATCCACAAGGAATATTTTAAGTAACTCAACCTCTTAGGGTAAGTTAACTTTCAATTCTTACTAAAATATTGAAATCTTTTATGCATTATCCTTCTGTTTAAAGGGTCACAGGATCTGTACTTGGTAATAATCCTGGTGCTCACCACCATTCTCTGCAATAATATGAAACCATTGTTTGCTATTTCACCATTATTTGCCTGTTTTTTGTATGACTGTGTAAAGATGACAATTATTTAAGAAGGCACTGCAATAGGATCTCCACTTCCTGGTAGAAAATAGAAGGGGAAGTTAAGAGTTTGATGAAGAAATGCTCTTCATTTAGAAGATTATTTGGGATAAAACTGATTGTTATTGTCATAATATCTAGCTCGGTTTTGATTGATAGCACAAGCTTAAGAACTACCTTGAATTTTCTGAATTGAAATTATGGTGACAAATTTGACAATAATGGCTAATATTTATTGAATGCTTACCAAGTGCCAAGAACTGTTCTGTGTTAGGTGTAATGCTTTTTTTAATCCTCACAGTAAACACTATGAGAAGGTCCCATATTTAGCCACAGTTTACCCTGACAGAAGTGAGGAGTAAGGAAGTTAAGTAATTTGCCTAAGACCACACAGTTAAGGGTGAATAAATCAAGAAGTACAATTGTTCTCAACGAATCAGGAAGTAATTATTAAGGCCCTTGCTTATATACAAGCTGTGAAAAACACTATATGTGTATGTGCACTCAGTCAGGTCTGACTCTTTGTGACCCCATGGACTGTAACTCACCAGGTTCCTCTGTCCATGGAATTTTCCAGGCAAGAATACTGGAGTGTGGGGTGCTATTTCCTTTTCCAGGGGGTCTTCCAGACCCAGGGATTGAACCTGTGTCTGTTTCATCTCCTGCATTGGCAGGCAGGTTCTTTACTAGCTGAGCCACTGGGGAAGCCCTGAAAAACACTAGTGAGTAGGAGAAAAGGGGAGGGAAATAGTCACTTGCTACACAGAAATCAGAATATAAGAAATGCTTAAGTTTGTGGTAGATGTCATAAGGCCTGCATTGAGCCCCGAAGAGATTAAATTTCTGGAGAAGTTAAGAGCAGTGGTCCTCCGTATGCCATCATGGATCACTTGGGACCAAAATAGCCTAGGAGGTTTGTTTAAAATGCAGATTACCAGGCCTCGTCCTGGGAGTAGTAAAAATGAATGAGGATTATAACCCAGCAATCTGTGCATTTATGAGACTACAGGCTTCAGCAACATGTGAACCGTGAACTTCCAGATGTTCAAGCTGGTTTTAGAAAAGGCTTTTAGAACCAGAGATCAAATTGCCAACATCCGCTGGATCTTCAAAAAAGCAAGAGAGTTCCAGAAAAACATCTATTTCTGCTTTATTGACTATGCCAAAGCCTTTGACTGTGTGGATCACAATAAACTGTGGAAAATTCTGAAAGAGATGGGAATACCAGA